AAAAAGGGCCAGGCGTGGTAGCTCATGCCTTTAATTTTTTTCCCGCAGGCACTTTGGGCGGATCACCTGAGGTCAGGGTAGCTGAGATCAAACCTGGCCAACATGGTGGAAAACCGCCGCATTTTCATGTACTAAAAAGTAACAAAAATTAGGCTGGGCGTGGTTGGCAGGTGCCTGTTAATCCCAGCTACGCAGAGGGCTGACAGGAGTATGTCTTTAAAACCGGGGGAGGCCAGGAGATTGCATGAGCCGAGATTGCACCATGGCACTCCACCTGGTAACGAGAGTAAAACCTCGTGTTCTCAAGAAAAAAAAAAAAAAAAAAAAAATTAACCTGGTTTCCAAGTAACTCAGGCAGTATCCCAGAAGAAAGCTCAAGAATCACTGAGAAGTGGCTGAGTATGGTGGCTCACGCCTGTAATCTCCAGCACCTTGGAGGCTGAGGCAGGGGAACACCTGAAGTCAGGAGTTCGAGACCACCCTGGTTTTTTTTTTTTGAGATGGAGTTTTGCTCTTGTTGCCCAGGCTGGAGTGCAGTTATGTGATCTCGGCTCACTACAACCTCTGCCTCCCAGGTTCAAGCAATTCTGCCTCAGCCTCCCAAGTAGCTGGGATTACAGGCGTATGCTACCACACCGGCTAATTCTTGTATTTTTAGTAGAGATGGGATTACACCATGTTGGCCAGACTGGGCTGGAACTCCTGACCTCAAGGTGATCTGCCTACCTTGGCCTCCCAAAGTGCTGGGATTACAGGCCTGAGCCACCGTGCCCGGCCTGATACTCTGTTATTCCCATTTTACAGATGAGGAAACTGAGACTCTGAGAGGTTAAGTGGATTGCCCAAGGTCACACAGGCAGGATTGAGTCCAAGGAGCCTGGGATTTAACCCCAGGGGCCATAGAATCATGTCACCTTCTGTAGAGATGCAGAGAGACTTCGAGGCAAGTGGGTGGGGAAGGAAATGAGGGGCTTTGAACTCAATCAACACACACCACTTCCCATCCTGCAGAATAAGTCAGAAGAGCGGCCTGTTTGTTTCACCCCCAGGAAGCGCATTATCCCCATAGCTGCCGTCAGGGGCCACGACACTCCCCTTCTCCTCTCTTCCAGGAGCTGGAAAAGCTAGGCCTTGGCGACAGTGTGGACCTGCACGTGTACGAGATTCCGGTTGAGTACAAAACAGTCCAGAGACTCATCCCTGCCCTGTGGGAGAAGCACAGTCCACAGGTGAGTGGTGCCGAGGGGCGGTGCTTCCTCATCAGGACTTACAGGTTGGCACCCTTCATGTGGAGCACTCAGGTGGCTTTGTTCCTGATCGGATCATGTGACCAATGCCACACGGTCTTGTCTTCAAAAGGCCTTTTCAGGCCTGGCACGGTGGCTCACGCCTGGAATCCCAGCACATTGGGAGGCCAAGGCAGGAGGATCACCTGAGCTCAGGAGTTCGTGGCTAGCCTGGGCAACATGGCGAAACCCTGTCTCTACTAAAAATACAAAAAATTAGCTGGGTGTGGTGACGGGCGCTTGTAGTCCCAGGTACTCGGGAGGCTGAGACAGGAGAATCGCTTGAAACCAGGAGGTGGAGGTTGCAGTAAACTGAGATTGTGCCACTGCACTCCAGCCTAGGCAGCGGAGCGAGACTTTATCTCAAAAAACCCAAAGGGCTATCCAGGCCAAGGGTGGTGGCTCATACCTGCAATCCCAGCACTTTCGAAGGCTGCGGCAGGAGGATTGCTTGAGTCCAGGAGTTTGAGACCAGCCTGGGCAGTGTAGTGAGACCCCATCTCTACAAAAAATTTTAAAAATTAGGCATGATGGTGCACGCTTATAGTTCCAGCTATTCAGAAGGCTGAGGCAGAAGGATTGCCCGAGCCCAGGAGTTTAAGACTATAGTGTGGGCCGGGCGCGGTGGCTCAAGCCTGTAATCCCAGCACTTTGGGAGGCCGAGACGGGCGGATCATGAGGTCAGGAGATCGAGACCATCCTGGCTAATGTGGTGAAACCCCGTCTCTACTAAAAAATACAAAAAACTAGCCGGGTGAAGTGGCGGGTGCCTGTAGTCCCAGCTACTCGGGAGGCTGAGGCAGGAGAATGGCGTGAACCCAAGAGGAGGAGCTTGCAGTGAGCTGAGATCCGGCCACTGCACTCCAGCCTGGGTGACAGAGCAAGACTCCGTCTCAAAAAAAAAAAAAAAGACTATAGTGAGCCAAGATTTTTGTGCCACTGCACTCCTGCCTGGGCAACAGAGCAAGATCCTATCTCTTACAAAAACAAACAAACAAGACTGGGCATGGTAGCTCACGCCTGTAATCCCAGCACTTTGGGATGCCAAAGTGGGCGGATCACCGGAGGTCAGGAGTTCGAGACCAGCCTGGCCAACATGGCGAAACCCCGTCTCTACTAAAAATACAAAATTAGCCGGGTGTGGTGGCACACATCTGTAATCCCAGCTACTCGGGAGGCTGAGACCGGAGAATCACTTGAACCCAGGAGGGGGAGGTTGCAGTGAGCTGAGATCGCACCATTGCACTCCAGCCTGGGCGACAGAGCAAGACTCCATTTCAACAAACAAAGAAACAAATAAAAACACTGTGCTGGCATTTTAACAGCTGCATAGTAGCTCATTATTTATTGAACTAACTCCGTCTGGATGGCTAGTTAGCTTGTTTCCAGTATTTGATTTCGATAACAGGAAGAGCTGCAATGAACAGCCTTGCATGTTTCAAATTCTTGCCTGTCTTACGTGGCATACCTTTTTGCAAGAGTGACTGCAGGGTCTATTCCAGCAGCAGGAGGTCAGAAATAACACAACCCCAGGCAGAGCCCAGTAAGGATGCTGCCTTTTCCTTGGCCTCAGGGGGACCTCCTCCGAGTCCCATGGGCAGGCCATGTTAAGTCCTGCCCCTGTCTATATGCAGCTGGTGGTGCATGTGGGGGTGTCAGGCATGGCGACCACAGTCACATTGGAGAAATGTGGACACAACAAGGGCTACAAGGGGCTGGACAACTGCCGCTTCTGCCCCGGCTCCCAGTGCTGCGTGGAGGATGGGCCTGAAAGCATTGACTCCATCATCGACATGGATGCTGTGTGCAAGCGAGTCACCACGTTGGGCCTGGATGTGTCGGTGACCATCTCACAGGATGCTGGCAGGTAGGGCCCTGTGGGGTGGGGGTGAGTGGGGATTTCCCTCCTCCACTCGCTGAGTCTGGTGTGGAACAAGTCAAGCGTGTTGACCTTGGCCTCTTTGGACCAAGCACTCAGTGTATACGAGGCACAGAGCCAAGTATTTGTATGTAGCAGGTGCTGTCGATTCTGCTACTGGGACTCATGGATCTGCCCACTTCTCCCCACCGTCACGGTCCCCACCGCGGCCCCCAGCATCTCCCACCTGGACAGTGCCCCAGGCTCCACCTCAGTCTTCCTCCCTGCTGCCTCCACCGCAACCCAATCAGTCAGTTTCTGTGTTAATTTCCTGGAGCTGCTGTAACAAATACCCACAAACCGGGTGGTTTCACATAACAGAAGCGTATTGTGTAACAGCCTTGGAAGTCAGAAGTCCAAGGTCAAAGTGGTAGCAGGACTGGTTCCTTCTGGAGGTGCTGAGGGTGAATCTGTCCCAGGCATCTCTCCTGCAGCTGGTGGCTGCCAACCATCCTTGGATTGTAGACACATCACTCCAGTCCCCACCCCCATCCTCACATCACCTTCTTCTCTTTGTGTGTGGCCATATGGTCTTCTTATTAGGACACCAGTCATATTTAGGACTCATCCTAATCCAGTATAACCTCATCTTTTTTTTTTTTTTTTTTTTTTTTTTTTAGATGGAGTTTTGCTCTTATTGCCCAGGCTGGCGTGCAATAGCATGATCTCAGCTCACTGCAACCTCCACCTCTTGGGTTCAAGCGGTTCTCCTGCGCCAGGCTCCCAAGTAGCTTGCACCACTACGCATGACTAATTTTGTATTTTTATTAGGGACAGAATTTCTCCATGTTGGTCAGGCTGGTCTCGAACTCCCGACCTCCGGTGATCCGCCCACCTCTGCCTCCCAAAGTGTTGGGATTACAGGCGTGAGCCACTGTGCCCAGCTGACCTCATCTTAATGTAACTAATTACGTCTGCAAAGATCCTCTTTCCAAATAAGATGACATTCTTTTTTTTTTTGAGACGGAGTTTTACTCTTGTTGTCCAGGCTGGAATGCAATGGCGCAATCTCGGCTCACTGCAACCTCTGCCTTCTGGATTCAAACAACTCTCCTGCTCCAGGCTACCAAGTAGCTAGGATTACAGGCATGCGTCATCACGCCCAGCTAATTTTTTGTATTTTTAGTAGAGATGGGGTTTCACCATGTTGGTCAGGCTGGTCTCGAGCTCCCGACTTCAGGTGATCCATCCTCCTCAGCCTCCTAAAGTGCTGGGATTACAGGCATGAGCCACCAAACCTAGCCCAAATAACGTCACATTCTGAGGTCCCAGGTGAATATGAATGTTGAGGAGATGATCCAACCTATTGCAAAAGTTCTTTTATAAATTTAAATCAGGGCCAGGTGCAGTGGTTCACACCTATAATCCTAGCACTTTGGGAGGCCAAGGCAGGAGGATCTCTTGAGCCCAGGAGTTCAAGACCAACCTGGGCAACATAAGGAGACCCCATCTTAACAAATAAAAAAATGGCAGACTGAGGCGGGAGGATTGCTGGAGCCTGGAGTTCGAGGCTGCAGTGAGCTGTGATAGCGCCACTGCACTCCAGCCTGGGTGACAGAACAAGACACTGTTGGCTCTAAATAAATAAATGCACGTGTCCCTTTCCTAGACCTTCCCTATGGCTCCCATTGCACGTAGAATAAAATCCAACCCTGGCGCTTGGCCCGCCTCTCCACCCTGCTCTGCCTCTAATCACCCCATGTCCATTGCAGTCGAGACACATAAACCGGCTTCCTCCTGCTCCTCAAACACACCAAGCTCACTCCAGCCTCAGGGCCTTTGCATGCCCTATGGCCTCTGCCCAAAACACCTTCCTCTGGGAACTCCTCTTTCCAGTCTTTTTTTTTGTTTTTGTTTTTCGAGATGGAGTCTCGCTCTGTTGCACAGGCTGGAGTGCAATGGCGCGATCTTGGCTCACTGCAACCTCCACCTCTGATGTTCAAGTGATTCTCCTGCCCCAGCCTCCCAAGTAGCTGGGATTACAGGCGTGCGCCATCATATCCGGCTAACTTTTGTATTTTTAGTAGAGGCGGGGTTTCGCCATTTTGGCCACACTAGGGTGGTCTCGAACTCCCGACCTCAAGTGATCCACCTGCCTCAGCCTCCCAAAGTGCTGGGATTACAGGCCTGAGCCACTGCGCCTGGCCCTCTTTCCAGTCTTAACTCCAACACGAGTCACCTCCTTGTGACTTGTAGGCCTCTCCAACTCCCCAGACCAAGTTATACCCTCCCAGCACTGGCTTCCTCACTTCTCCCTAATCTGTGTGCTTGTCCAACTCGAAGGCGGCTGTTGGTCAGTGGAGTTGTTTGGCTGAAGGAAGGAGTGCCTGGATTTACCGTCAGGATTTTTGTTTTTGGAGACAGGGTCTCACTCTGTTGCCTAGGCTGCAGTCCAGTGGTATAATCAGGGCTCACTGCAGCCTCGACCTCCTGAGATTAAGTGATCCCCCCTGCCTCAGCCTCCCAAGTGGCGGGGACTACAGATGCACAGCACCACATCCAGCTAATTTTTCTATTTTTTGTAGAGACAGAATCTTGCTACATTGCCCAGACAGCTCTTGAATAACTGGGCTCAAGTGATCCTCCTGCCTCGGCCTCCCAAAGTGCTGGGATTATAGGCAAAAGCCACCACACACCACTGAGTTCTTTTTAAAGCTAACTTTTTTTTCTCTTTTTTAATTGAAAACTAATTGTTATTTGTTTGTTTGTTTGTTTTGACAGGATCTTGTTCTGTAGCCCAGGCTAGAGTGCAGTGGCAAAATCACAGATCACTGCAGCCTTGACTTTTTGGGCTTAGGTGATCCTCCCACCTCAGCCTCCCAGGTAGCACAACCAAACCCAGCTAATTGTTTTTTTTTTTTTTTTTGAGACAGAGTCTTGCTCTGTCACCCAGGCTGAGCCAGGCTGCAGTACCGTGGCACAATCTTGGCTTGCTGCAACCTCCGCCTCCTGGATTCAAGCGATTCTCCTGCCTCAGCCTCCTGAGTGGCTGGGATTATAGGCGCCCGCCACCACACCCAGCTAATTTTTGTATTTTTAATAGAGATAGGGTTTTATCATGTTGGCCAGGCTGGTCTCAAACTCCTGACCTCAGGTGATTCGCCTGCCTCGGCCTCCCAAAGTGCTAGGATTACAGGCATGAGCCATCGCGCCTGGCCTAATTTTATTTTATTTTATTTTATTTATTGTTTTTTTTGAGACTGCATCTAGCTTTGTCGCCCAGGTTGGAGTGCAGTGGCTCGATCTTGTTTCACTGCAATCTCCACCTCCTGGGTTCAAGCGATTCTCCTGCCTCAGCCTCCTGGGTAGCTGGGATTACAGGCACCCACCACAACACCAAGCTAATTTTTGTATTTTTAGTAGTGATGGTGTTTCACCATGTTGCCCAGGCTGGTGTTGAACTCCTGAGCTCAAGCAATACGCCCACGTTGACCTCCCAAGGTGCTAGAATTACAGGTTGAGCCTCCGTGCCCAGCCCAATTTTTTTTTTTTTTTGAAGACAGAGTTTTGCTCTTATTGCCCAGGCTGGAGTGCAATGGCACAATCTTAGCTCACTGTAACCTCTGCCTCCCAGGTTCAAGTGATTCTCCTGCTTCAGCCTCCCAAGTAGCTGGGACTGCAGCTGCCTGCCACCATGCCCAGAAAATTTTTGTATTTTTAGTTGAGACGTTTCAGCATGTTGGCCAGGCTGGTCTTGAACTCCTGACCTCAGGTGATCCACCTGCCTTGGTCTCCCAAAGTGCTGGGATTATAGGCGAAAGCCACCGCGCCTGGCTGCCCAGCCCAATTTTTTTATATTTTTGATAGAGATAGGGTGTTGCAGTGTTGCCCAGGCTGGTCTCGAACTCCTGGATTCAAGGGATCCTCCCACCTCAGCCTCCCAAAGTGCTGGGACGACAGGTGTGAGCCACCATACCCAGCTTCCATCAGTCTCTTTATAAAATTAATTTTTAATTACAGGTAACTCTAGAACGTATCCTCGTATGTCTAATTGGGAAAAATTCTCATTCCCTCTCTTTTTCCATAGTGGTCCCTCTGATAAGTCAGACACTGAAACCATGAAGCTCCTACTGACTGACATGTTTCTGTACATATATACATCACTTGGCCTACTGCTTTACGATTTTGTCTTGTTTTGCTTTGCTTTTATGTGGATGGAGCCACACGGCGAAAGTCACACTTTACTGACAATTATTTTCCTCAGCTTTCATTTGTGAACATTCAACATGCATCTGGTTGGCCGGGCGCGGTCGCTCAGGCCTGTAATCCCAGCACTTTGGGAGGCCGAGGCGGGCAGATCACAAGGTCAGGAGATCCAGACTATCCTGGCCAACACGGTGAAACCCCGTCTCTACTAAAAAAAAAAAAATACAAAAAATTAGCTGGGCATGGTGGCGGGCACCTGTAGTCCCAGCTACTGGGGAGGCTGAGGCAGGAAAATGGCGTGAACCCAGGAGGCGGAGCTTGCAGTGAGCCGAGATTGCACCACTGCACTCCAGCCTGGGTGACAGAGCAAAACTCTGTCTCAAAAAAAAAAAAAAACCAAAACATGCATCTGGCGAGTTCTCCATTTTTTTCTGGCTGTACCGCATTCCTTGTAATTGGTTTCATAGGATTCCATGGTGTGGATAAACCAGAGTTTACTAAGCCACTCCCTGTGGTGGTCACCCATGCCTGTAATCCCAGCACTTTGGGAGGCCGAGGCAGGTGAATCACTCAAGGTCAGGAGTTCCAGACCAGCCTGCCCAGCATGGTGAAACCCTGTCTCTACTAAAAATACAAAAATTAGCCAGATGTGGTGTGGTCCACGCCTGTAGTCCCAGCTACTCGGGAGGCTGAAGCAGGAGAATCGCTTGAGCTGAGGAAGCAGAAGTTGCATTGAGCTGAGATTGTGCCACTGCACTGCAGCCTGGGCAGCAGAGCCAGACTCTGTCTCAAAAAAACAAAACAGAAAATATAGCCGGTGGTGATGGTGCACACCTGTACTGGCAGCTACTCAGGAGGCTGAGGTAGGAGGATCGCTGGAGGCCAGGAGTTTGAGGCTACAGGGAGCTGTGATTGCACCACTGCATTCCAGACTGGGTGACAGAGTGAGACCCTGTCTCAATAAACAAACAAAAAATGGAAATACCAGGTTGTAAAGCCTGGGTGATTATAATTTTACTAGCCTGCCAAATTGCCTTCCACACGGGGATAACCAGCGTTCATTCCCACCAGCAACAGCTCACTCTGCCCATTTCCCCACATGTGCCACAGCACTGGGAATTATCAAGTTTTTTGTTTTTGTTTTTTGTTTTTTTAAAAGAGACAGGGTCTCACTCTCTTGCCCAGGCTGAGTGCAGTGGTGCAATCAGGGCTCACTGCAGCCTCGACCTCCTGGGCTCAACCAGTCCTCCCGCCTTCACCTCCTGAGTAGCTGGGACTATAGGCACGTACCACCACCCCTGGTGATTTTTTTCATCTTTGCCAACCTGGGGAGGGAGGAGAGCGTTATTCCATCTTGTGGGTGGCTGGTGAGGCTGGGGTCTTCCCTTGAGTTTGGATGAGTGCTATCACTTTGGTCTGCGGATTGCCCCTCTGACCCCGTTTTGGTCTCTCTCTTACCTGCCACGCCCTGCGGCTTAGATATCTCTGCGACTTTACGTACTACACCTCTCTGTACCAGAGTCAGGGTCGATCAGCCTTCGTCCACGTGCCCCCTCTGGGGAAGCCGTACAACGCAGACCAGCTGGGCAGGGCACTGAGAGCCATCATTGAGGAGATGCTGGACCTCCTGGAGCAGTCAGAGGGCAAAATCAACTATTGCCACAAACACTGAGGAACGCTCAGGTCTCCTAAGACCTCATCCTGCTGGGGACCCCACGAGGGGACATCCACCCTCTGGGGTGTGGCCAGGAAAAGACAAGCTCTTCAACTTGGGGATCCGATCTGGAAGAGAGATTCTGATCTGCCCATCTCTTCTTCCTCCTTCTCTACAAAAGCTCCGGTTGATTTGAGGGAAGTGGCTGAAAATTTTCTTTGCTCCCGTTTTCCTCCCTGCATCTGGGGACACAGCTGCCGTGACCAGGGAGGCCAGCCTGAGGGGTCCAGATGCCCAGGGAGAATCTTGGTCTGGTGGGTCCATGAGCTGCGATACCACAGCTGGAGCCACGTGTTCACCTGCTTTCCTGTCTGTTGGTGAAGGAATTTCAGAATTCACTTTATATCCAAGACTGGCTTTTACCAAATTTAAAAGCCTCTCACTGAGTCCTCGACCTTGACCTGTGCTCAACAGCCTGGCCCTTTCTGGGGCTACCCTGGGATATGGCATAATTTTTTCTTTCTTTCTTCTTCTCTCTCTCTCTTTTTTTTTTTTTTTTTTAAACCAATAGTGCTAGTTTGTGCACAGAGTAATTTATATTCCCTTTGGTTAAAATGCAGGCTTTTTAGCCAACAACAAAAGTGTCTTTTTTCCCCCCATGCCGGGGTGAGGCCACTTTTGCCACCTGCCCTGAAAATTGGACTTAAGATGCCATGTCTTGGCTGGGCGCAGTGGCTCATGGCTGTAATCCCAGCACTTTGGGAGGCCAGGGTGGGTGGATCACTTGAGATCAGGAGTTCCAGACCAGCCTGGCCAACATGGTGAAACCCTGCCTCTACTAAAAATATAAACATTAGCTGGGCGTGGTGGTGCATGCCTATAGTCCTAGCTACTTGGGAGGCTGAGGCTGGAGAATCGCTTGAACCCGGGAGGCAGAGGTTGCAGTGAGCTGCGATTGCACGGCTGCACTCCAGCCTGGGCGACAGAGCGAGATTCTGTCTCAAAAAAACAACTGGACTTAAGATGGCATGTCTTGGTTTTAGGGCCAAAAATGAGGCCCCCTTGCTTAAGGCATGGGGTCGGTGGCCAGGCGACAGGGTGGGACTGCTGCCCCAGATGTGGCCATGGGGGTCGTGGTCCTTTCAACACCGAGCTATGAGCTGTCGCCATGGAGACCAGGGCCATCTGTGGGAAGGCGGATTTTGTCTGCTTTTGACTTTTCTTTTTTAATATGTAAACTTCACAGCAGCGGAAACCCACCCCCCCTACTTCTGGCCTGGAGCTTCAAGGTTTTGGTGCCGGAACGAGTTTGTTGTTCCCTTAGCAGGGTGGTGGGGGGGTCTCAAAACGGAGGCCTGGGGGCTGGAGTTGGCAGCTTTGCATGTCCCGGCATGTCTGAGCAGGAGGAATTCCCGGCGGCCAAGGGGTTTTATGTAGATTGGTTTTGGATACTCGCCCAGGAGTCAGGAGTCAAATTTTATCTCACTTCCTGGTAACCTTGAACTCTAGACAGGGATGAAATGATGTAACGTTCCTCAGATGATGTAAGTTCAGCCAGATCTTGATACCCATCAGGGAGAGAGGACGACCCCCACAGTGAAACCAATTGAGTGAAATGCACGTTCTGGAAATCAGTTTCTATTTTGGCCTGGGGGAATGTGGCTATACGTTTCCCTGCGTGTGACACAGTTGGAATCTGATCTTGTTGGTTTCCCAACATCTAGGGTTGTGTGTGTGTGAGAGAGAGAGAGAGACAGAGAGAGACAGGGTCTTGTTCTGTTGACCAGGCTGGAGTACAGTAGTGTGATCATGGATCACTGCAGCCTCCACCTCCTGGGCTCAAGTGATCCTCCCATCTCAGCCTCCTGAGTAGCTGGAACTACAGGCATGTACCACCACACCTGGCTAATTTTTAAATTTTTTGCACAGACAGAGTTTTGCCATGTTGCCCAGGCTGGTCTCGAACTCCTGGACTCAAAGCGATCCTCCCTTCTCGGTCTCCCAAAGTGCTGGGATAACAGGCACTTATTATCCACTTATGAGCCACTGATCCCAGCCCAGTTCTTTTTTAAAACAACTGAGAGTTTTGTTTTCTTCAGCGTTCACCTTCCTTGTCTCCAGTTCCAATGCTGGCGGTGGTTCCTACCTCTGTTGGGTTTCTAGATCATTTGGGAACTGGGTTGATGGGTTTCTGTGAAACACGTTTTCCAAGCCTTGGGCTTTCTCTGGAGGGGAAGCTGGATGCTGGTAGGTGACTTGCAGTAGGTGCCTGGCAGTGGGTGTGGACTGTGACTGGCAGGTGGAAATGAGTAGGGACACTATTGTTCCCTCCACTCCAGCCTTCTTTTTGCTCGAAATGCCCCCTCCACACCCCTGGTAGCTCTCTGTGTCCTGAGAAATCTGGAGTGTGGGAGGCAGCACTGCATCTGTCCCCCCAGCTTCTGTGAAGGAAAACTGTGGCCTCTTTTGAATGTGGGGAACAACTAAAGACTCAGGGATCACTCAGAGGTCTTGTGGAAAACAACTTCAGACTTCATCTTGCTCTGTTCCTCGAAGGTCTCATCTGTGGGCCTCTGAGGAGAAAACAGATCCAGCTAAGACGGGCAAAATGGGGAAGAGGGTGTGCCAGGCCTGAACTGAGCTAAGCACCTGCCCCAGGCTCCATCTTTCGTCTTCACTTCACCTCTGTGTTTAAAGCACCGTGTGACATAGCTCCTTAGAGATATAACCTATTGTCTGCTCATTGTCGAGTGTGTGTGTGTCATCTTTGTGTTCTTGCAGGAACATTTGTGTTCACATTTCCTCACCGAGTCAAGCCAGTATCCCATCCTTCCTCATAATACACAACATTTGGCTCATTTACATTTTCTCATTGTTATTTTTCGTTCTTATCTTTTGAGACAGATTCTCACACTGTCCCCTGGGCTAGAGTGCGATGGTGTGATCTCAGCTCACTGCAACCTCCGCCTCCTGGGTTTACAAAAGTCTCCTGCCTCAGCCTCCCGAGTAGCTGGGATTACAGGTACACACCACCACGCCTGGCTAATTTTTGTATTTTTCGTAGAGATGCAGCCTCGCCATGTTGGCCAGGCTGGTCTTGAAATCCTGACCTCAGGTGATCCGCCTGCCTTCGCCTCCCAAAGTGCTGGGATTACAGGTGTGAGCTATCGCGCCTGGCCGAGTTTTTTACAAATATTTTTCTTTTGGTGGAACTCATCTATGCATTGTATGGTGTGTTTTTCCACCTTTGTTGGGTCTCAGCTTAGAATAGCCTCACCTGGGCTAGGTTTGGTGACTCACACCTGTAATCCTAGCACTTTGGGAGGTTGAGGCAGGAGAATCTCTTGAGCCCAGGAGTTCAAGACCAGCCTGGGCAACATAGCAAGAGCCCCCACATCTACCAAAACATACAAAAATTAGCCAGATGTGGTGGTGCATGCCTGTGGTCCCAGATACTCAGGAGGCTGAG